GATCGAACGAGGTATGTAGAATTCCTCCAGTAGGTGGGTGTCGCCTCTGCTGCTGGTCACTTCGCCGACGGAGGTCAAGCTCGCCGGCGATTCTCGGGGCTGTGGTAGCAGGTTCATCGGAGGGCAGCACGGTTGCTGCTCACGATGGCAGGGTTCGCCGGAATCCTTACACGTGGATAGCTCGCCGGTGGTTGGGGTTACTGGCAGCGACGGCGGAGAGGATGGAGGGTGAGAGGCGACGGGCTTTTGCAGGGGATGGCAGCGACAACAAAAGGAGGGGAAGAACTTGAGGGCGGCGATGGATCGATTGAGCGAGAGAGGTGAGGGAGAGATTGAGAGGTTTGAGATGAGGGCTGCGCGATCGAAATAAAAACGAGAGAGAGGAACAGATTTTTGAGCGTGAGATGAGAGACAAAATATATATGAATGCTACTAGGTTTAAAATGTCTTGATAAACAAGACAATTCACACGCACGAATTTGTGATCCGGGTCTTGGGCGGTTTAACGGCTCACGGGCCAGTTCGGTTCACGCGGGTATTTTCGGGCTCAAATCCGGTTCGCAAAATTTAAATCGGCTCACGGGCCTGATTACAATTCAAACGGATATCCTCGGGCCCAATTTTTGGTTGCAACGAAAATTTTCGGGCTCGATAACGGATTCAACGCGCGATAAAAAAAATTATAAACCGAACAATATATATTTTACACACACATATATATATTAAAACGCATTTAATAATAATTCACAAAATTATTTAGACATTTAGACAATTTATCATTTAATCACATATAGGCAATTAATATTAGGCACTCAAAATAATAATAATAATAATAATAATAATAATAATAATAATAATAATAATAATAATAATAATAATAATAATAATAATAATAATAATAATAATAATAATAATAATAATAATAATAATAATAAATCTCAAATAATCCACAAATAAACGGGGCATTACACGTGGTGATGGCGAAACCTAGTTCTACAACCCAATAGACTCTGAGGTTCAGATGATCTCCATCAACGATAATCAGAAACGTCTCAGAATCGGCAAAATTTTAAAATCGTAAGTCCTAATCCTAATAATAGAATCCGCTTCGTCCAGATTAAATTCGGTAGATTCGAAGGTGTACATGAACAACGTTCCTCATAGAACCCAACACTATTGGTATATGATTTTTTTTGTAAATATTTATACACTTAAACTTTCATTAGCAGTGAATAATTAGTAGAAAATGCTTTCAAAGATTCTGTAAGTTCTGTACTATTCTCATTTTCATCTCCAAGGTCACTAAATTTCCTACATCAATGAGCTATACATGTTTCACCAAATTTGTGCAATAACCCCAATCCCTCTGTAACTAGCCTGTGAGCATGATTTGAGAGGGTCGAGTTAATTTTGAGAAATAAAATATGTTGATGCGAAAAAGAGAGGCTTTACGTGATATGGACCCTAGTTTATCTACCAAATCCCCAATTCATCAATTATCTTCACTAATTTAACTAATATAACCCTAGCTTAGCAAACTAAAGAGCAGACATGAAAAGGATTATGGAGTTACAAATATGTAAATCGGTTAAACATGTAGTAGTTTACCTGATGAAGATTCGTTTTCGATTTGTTTGTTCAGAAATCAAAATTTCTAGGAAACTCACCTCAAGATTTTCTGTGAAACCTAGGCGCAGTTGTTCGCCGTCCTTACAAAATTTTTGGAGTAATATCGAGATGTATTGGTTGTAGAATCCTCTATGGGTGATTGTTGCTCGTCGCTTTCCGTTTTCTCAGACGCGAAATGAAAGTGTTGGTCAGGTTTTTTAAGTTTAGTGGCTGGTGTCAAAATTAGAAGAAATAAAAGTTTTGGTGAGATGGAACGATATTCTCGGCTCATATTTGGCAACCAAACAAATTATTGCTGGTTATTAGTGGTGGGACCAGTAAAGATCGTTGCTATGTGCAAGTCAAGAATTAAACTCTACAAATTAAACCTATGCGCAGCAGAACTAAGGTTTAGCGTAGACTTCTTAAAATTTATCCGTCTCAAAGACGTTGTAGATTTTCGTTGACGGAGATTGTCTGATTCCACTCGCCGAAAAATCGCTTCGTCGAAAGTCCCGGAGTCACCAGGATGGTCGAGCACTCGAACGGGGTCAGATGGGTCGCGCGGGTGCAGCATGCGGACGAGCGGGCGTTTCGCGGTCGCGTCGCGTGGCTACAGGATTGCAGCAGGTCGAGCGATATCCTCGTGGATCGTCTGCGTGCTGGTCGTGCGTCGCGTATGGGGATCGTCGAGGATCTCGTGGTTCTGCGGCGTACGCGTGTGGCCTGGACGGGAACATGTCGCGCGGCTGGTGTCTCAACTGTGCTCGGCCGCGGGGCTGCAGCGACGACTAAGGGAGCGCCGACGTGTGGTGGTGCGCCGGGAGGTCTCATAAACCACAGAGTTTTCTGCCGTATTACTCGACACCTCTCCGGTTGTCTTCGCGGGCAACAATGTCGGAGACAAACTGAAGAAAACTAGGGTTAGCCGACTTGTGCGTGTGAAATTCACGTCTTGTCTCTCCCAATCCCAAGAGTTAATGGTGTTTATATAGGGCTACAGCAGGGACTCTAAGGAGGTGATGACATGGGCTTCTTAAGTCATGGGCCTAACTATGGGCCAAGTCCACTCCGCTCAATGACTTAAATAATGTTTCGGTCCACTAACAAAACATTATTGCACTTCTTCATCATCCCCGAATTATATTCGAGAATCCAATAATAATTACCTGAATTTTCTCCCCATGTTTAGGATATAATGTCCTTCAATTTAATTCGATTACTGACAATCAAATTAATCGACATCTTGAACTAGAGCTAGTAACACGCAAACCATTATTATTATGTCGGAACTTAATCTTCTTTTTTTTGTCCAACGATAGAATGTCATAGATAACACACATAAATACAACATAGAGAACGACCAAAACAGCCGAAGTCAGCATCTAAATGGCCGAAATGAGAGGACATCCCAAAGGAAGCCTGAATACCACAACTCACCTGCGACAATAAAAAATACTGACCTCCCACAAGTGGAGAACAAAAACTCCCAAAAGGAGAACATAATCCAAACACTACAATACAGAAAAAACACATAACACAAGAACACCGCACCTAAAACAACACCTAAAACTGGACTAGACTAAAACCCTTCTCCATGGCAGGCTAACATCACTACACCTTCACCACTCGAACCAAAGCCCAGGAGGAATACTCAACGAGAAAGGGTAGGGAAAACGACATACACGGCAACGAGAAGAACACAAACGTTAGATGACTCGCGTCGGACCATTGACCCACACCTCTCCATAGAGGCTACACTGTCGGGCCAACACCAGGAGCCCGCGCTACTCTCGGACCCCACACTATCCGATGAGCTCGCCTTTACTACCCCCACCAGAGAACCCACTCTCCTCGCACCACGGAGAAGCAAGAAAGGGGATCCAAGACCACCGTCGCACGACAAAGACGCCGGTCGCAGAACCACCTCCGGCACAAAACCGCCACCCCACAAGAAACGGCCATGGCCAACCGCAAAGGAAAGACGCCACGCCGGGCCGGGACGATCCTGGTGTCCATCTAATTGCGAAGGTGTGGCTCCTCCGCTGGAAGGAGGCGCCGCTGAAGCCGGATTAGGGCGGAGGGTTTGGGAACGGGGGAAATTAGGGGAAAAAGGTGAGAGAGAGAGAGAGAGAGAGATTATTAGTGTACTCAGAAGTTATATGTCGGAACTTAACCTACTTGCAGTGTTTAACATAATATTCCTTCATGAACTCACGTCGGGGACATCATCAGACTAATGTATATGGTGACTGTAAATATTCGAACAGCACACCATGCATGTTGCATCACTACCCAACTCACCCAAAATTTTGGCCCAGACAGAATGAACCTCACCATTTGGTGAATCAATGTAGTGTCTACTACATACATGTGCCTGTTTATATCCTACGAGTTAAGAGAACAGAGTAATTAACCAAAACCTATTTCATGTACGACGATTAGTATAAAACGAAATGCTCATCTCTGGGATTTTGTTCAATATACAAGTGTACCAGTGCAACTAAATAGTTCTACAACCGTTCTGATGATTTATTCAATTATATCTAGGTTGTGAACCAGCCATTTTTGTTTCGCAGGTAAATGAGAAAATGATCTTTTGTCCATCCTTGACGAACCATTTAGAACTTGTTTAATCAAACATGATTCTCATTCAACAGGAATAGTGTAATAATATCTAAAGACAAGCTTTAAGTATATATACTAACAATTAGGTTCTATCCATGAGGCCAAAAAAAGCAGCCATGATAAAATAGAGCTAAACCATGATAATATATCAGGCCCAATCAATAAACGAAACCAAACTCACCGTAAAGTATTGTCTAACAACTCAACTTATTTTTTCACAAGTTTACTGAATTTTATATGAAACAGTACTCATCTTATTAAGAGAGTGCAATCTAAGGATTACAGAAGTTGAAATAAATAATGAGATGCTGAAACAATACTCATCTTATTAAAACCCCGAATGACTCCAAGTTCCCTATTTTCTATTTTCCCAAAACACGATTATCCTAAACAGTTGAGACACCATGTATTTCTTTAGAGATTGCTTCATTGGTCATTTGTACTCAAAATCAGACCTCAGAGACTTCAAAGAGAGAAAGAAATAGCAGATAGGACCACATACGGGTTTATTTTCAAGCACTCAAGATCTTTAGCATTCAACAGAACTTCCAAACACGATGCGAGTTTTCATATTCTGTGAAACTTACATTTCAGAAATCAATGTTATATACACTCCATACGAATCAAAAAATGGTTGTAAAAAAGAAAACCAAAACACACAAAATTAAAAAACTACTAAAACACAGAATTGCCTCATGCATACCAATAAAAAAAAAATAATAACAATAAGAATTAAAAAGTGAATTTCATCTCGAAACAAACAATCATAAATGGTACCCTCGTGACCCCCTGGATTGGTAGACTTCCAGCTTGCCTTTGGCCTCCGGCAACAAGCTGTCGACAAGCTCGACCTGCCCAGACAGCGGCTGCTTGGATGCCCACTCGAGCACGGGCAGCACCTCTGCCTGCGCCAGCGCCTCGCTGTCCGGCACGTGCATCGCCACATAGCACAGCAGAACCAACGCTGCACTCTGCACAGTTGTCTGCTCCCCCAAATACACAAGCTGCACAAGATGCTTGGCCCCTCCTGCCTCCACTATGGCCTTGCAGTGATCAACATGCAAGTAGTTGTCCGTGCAAGCAAATTTCACAAGAGCCACGCAAGCCTCCCTCGACACCTCGGCCTCAGGCTCGTCAAGCAACCTCACCAGTGGCCCAATCATCCTCTTCTCAGTCGCCTTGAAAGTCCTCGCCAGGTTCCCCACGGCCTTCACGCACGGCACCAGAAGCTCCGGGTCGGCCCTCTCGACTGCTCCCAGCAGCTGCTCAACCACCGCCCGGCACGCCGGCGAGTTGGGCCTGAAAGCCGACCGCCGCAGCTCCGCGTCCCCTTCCGCCACCGCAGTGATCTCCGTGAGGGCCGCTGCTGACTGGCGCCGCACCTCAGCCTCCCCCTTCTCCAGCAGTGCCGCGAAGCAAAGCAGCGCCCGTGACTCCGTGATGCTCCGGCAGATGCCTGGGTTGCCCCTCGCCAGGTGGCAGAGGGCGCGCGCGCACATCGCCTTTATGTACGCCTTTGTCTCTGGGTCCTCCGACTCCCTTGCCCGCTGGCTATGTACGTGGATGTGGTGATGGCTGCCATTATTGACATTGACATTGACGTTGCCGTTGGCGTTGGTGGGAGCTTTGATGGACATTGTGCTCTTCACAACGCTGTACATTTGCTTTTTGTTACCGGACGGATGGGGCAAGAGGCCTCCGCCCTTGTTGTCTTCATCATTGTTATTCTCAGTCACACCATTATTACGATTATTGTTGTTGTTGGCTAATACGACAGCTGCCGCGTGAATAGAGGTGGCCTTGCTGGCGACGGCGTACTTGCTGTGCTCCTGCACGGTCTCGAAGGCGAGGTGGCTGACGAGGAGGCGAATGATGTTGTGCTGGGCGAAGAGGTCTTGGGACTTTGGGTAGTGGGCGGCCAGCTCGGAGACAGCCCAGGCGGCCATGGCCTGGGCTTTCATGGGCCCGTCCTTGAGGATCTTGGCAAAGACGGAGCAGATTCCGGCATGGAGCATGTGCTCGACGCTCTCGGGGTCGCGGCCGAGGAGGCCGAGAGCGCGGGCGGCGTTCTCCTGGCCCTCGGGACGGCCGTCTTTGACGAGGCGGAGGAGGGGACCCACGCCCCCTTCCTCGATGATGAGCTTTCCGTAGCGATCGTTGTCGTTGGCTAGGGAGACGAGGGAGGCGGCAGCGTCGGCCCGATCTTCGGGAGAGCCCGTGCAGAGGGTGGCGATCTGCTCCCAGATGAGGCAGAGGATGGGCTCGTTGGCAGCGATGGGAGGGAGGCCAAGGTACTCGTCTGCCCGGTCGTCCGCGGGGGCGGACACGCGGAGGAGCCAGGACACGTCGCCGGCGGAGTTCTCGAGCTGGGAGCACATCTTGCGGAAGGCGGCGGCGGGGATGATGGTGAAGACGCGCTGGACGAGGCCGTGGCCGCGGCACTTGAGGGCCAGGGCGAGGGACTTCTCGAGGACCTGCTCCGTGTCCGCCACGATGCGCCGGGTCGGCCGCTCGTAGAGATCGCTGCTGGCGCGGGCCGCCTGTCGGAGGAGGCCACCGAGCTTCTCCGCCTTGGACTTGAGGTCGCCGCACTCCTGCTTAAACTTGGCAGCCTCGTCGGCCGCCTTGACCACCTGATCCGTCAGCTGGATCGGCTTCGCCAGGATCTGCTTCACTAAATCACCCATTGGAAAAACCACCCAAACAAATGCGAAGACGATCCCCAAAATCGAGAAATGTTAGTCGAAACGCCGTTGACTGAGGAGCTCAAGATCAAAAGAAAAAATCAAGATAAGATGCGGATTTCAGGGAATCGAGAAATTTCTTTGGTTTAGAGCCGGAGGAAGAGGAAGGAGGCAAGGAGGATATCAATGTATCCGCGCGTGAGTGACGGAGATGAACAGTATTACATGGTCAAACGCGGTTTTCTTTTCCTTTTTCTCCTAAAACCATCCTTCGCGTCGTTAACTGGCACGCTGCCTGCACCCAATTATTTATAAAGGTTGAAAATAAACTATTGTAAAAAAAATTAGGCTTAATTGGTGATAATATCATGATCTCGACAATTTTAACCAAATTTGTAAATATTAGCATAAAAAGGCATAACTTTGTCCAAAAATTGCAACCCAAAATCAAATCCCGTCGGCGGGAATGGGTGGCGGTCCGGGACGGTCCGAGATTTTACTTGTCCCGCTTTTATGAACCGGTCCGGGAACAGTCTGAGACGTGACACCGTCCCAAATGGACCGGTATCATTTGAGATCGGGACAAAACGGGACAAAAATATAAACTAAACCCAAGAGTATTTAATTTCATTAAAATTTACAACAAACAACGAACATATTGATTCTATAATTTTGATTAAAACATACACACCGATTCAAGTTAGAGGGTTACCTCTGTTGGGTTTTATTAGGAACGTCGGCAATGTGCACATTCAAATCTATTAAATAATAAATTCTAACGCAGCGGAATCTATTGTTAAGATTAAGACTTACAGTTAAAAATTTTTGCCGACTCTGAGACGTTTCTGATTTCCGTTGATGGAGATCGTGTGAAATCCAAAGTCCGATGGGCTGCCGGACCTGGCCTTTCTCGATTCTAATCGAGTCATGGGGTGCTCCGGTTGCTCGTCGGGCTCGTTGGATCGTCTCGGACCTTCGTTAGGTTAGTCGGACTCCTCGGACCGCTCAGAAACCATTTTGGGTACGAACCGGGCTTACTGGAACATGTTGGACCGGTTTGGTGCGAGCTGAACCGGACTAGAACGCATCTGGACAGCTTGGAGATGCGCTGGGCTCCAGCTGAACCGGTCTGGGCAAATTTCCAAGTCGCTTGGCTTCGGAGAAGCTGTTGGGCCGCGGACACTCATGCATTTGGACGGAGGAAGCGGGCTAGGAGGATGCTTTGCACGCGGGCCAAACGCGGGCCTCTCGGGCCGAGGGATGTGAGAATACCGCGGGCCTGGTGCGGGCTGGCAGTTGAGAGGTAGATCAGGTCGAACCCGCGTGTTTTCTTTTCTCCTATTGGACTCCTCACGGTGATTGGGCTTGGCGTGTGGGCTGGCGTGTTGGGCTGCTCGCCTGAAGACGGACCTCGCTCATTCTACTCGCGCTGGGCTGACTTCATGGACTTCCTTCACCCCTGGCCTGGGCTCCTCATCTCCTTGGGCTGGACACGCACGGGAACGGGCCGCGAGATGCTGAACTGAACTGCAGGGCCTGGACACACGCTTGGACACCTGGGCGCGAACCTGAATGCACGATTGGACCTGGGGTGCTGGAACAATTCTGGAAAATTCCGGCCGGTCGCTGAAGGTTGCCGGAGCTTTGGCCGGTGCGCCGGTGAAGTCGGAATGCATGATTTTCGCCGAAAAAATTATATGCATTAATATATACATAAAAGACTCGATAAATATTGTACCATGAAGTCTTCTAATGTATATCCTTTACACCTACTTCGAATAATCTTGGTGGGCGAAGAATTGAAACTCCCGAACTCTCAATATTTATGTTTCTCGATTTTTCTCTCTTTGGGAAGACCTTAAAATCGAGTCACACACGTTAGTGGAAGAGGTTGGGACATGGTTTTATTATAGGCTACATTAGGGACCATAAGGAGGTGCTAAATATAGGCTTATCCCATTAGGCTTAGGAATCCTAACTATGTTCCAAATTCTTTTCCATCTAGAAGTCTTATTCCTCCTGACCTTAATCACCCTTCTAGAAGACTCCATAGTCTCCTAACCCTAGGGTAATATTCTAGACGGAATATTCTTCTCCTAATGGAATCTAAATTATAGAATATAATTAATTTCTAATTCCTAAATAGAATTAAATAATAAAACATTCCACCAGAGTAATATTATTGTTCTCCCCATTTACCTCCAATTTATTCAATAAATCCGAACCTCCACTTGATTAATAAATATTATTACGATAGGTCATGATGATTTTGTGTTTTGGTGTTAACATCTTTTTTTTTTTTATCAGGTAGTCAACTGTCAAATCAAGAGAAAAAAAGACCAAATATTATGTCGTTCTTTAAGCCAAAAAATGGTGCAACTATTAATGTGCTTGAAAATATTATGATTGATGGTTCTTCTATTTGGATGCGCGGGGAAGCCAGTGGTTCTCTATTGGTGATGAAGTTTGTCGACTTCATTTTCATCTTACATTTGATGCATAAAATTATGGGTATCACGAATGTGCTTTGTCGTGCCTTGCAACAAAAGTCACTTGATATTGTAAGTGCGATGGATTTGGTCGCTACGACAAAAACACTTCTTCTGACACTGAGAAATGATGCTTTTGATAATCTTCTTTCTTATGTCATATCATTCTGCATAAAATTAGATTTTGATGAACCAGAAACGAGTGCTCGTTACAAGCATTCCAGTCGTTCATGTCGGCAAAATGATACCATCACTGTTGAGCACCATTTTCATTATGATGTGTTTAATGTGGCAATAGATTTTCAATTGGAAAAGTTGAACTCTTGATTCAATGATGAGACTGTGGAACTTCTTGTGCTTAGTTGTGCTTTGGACCTGAAAGATAATTTTAAATGGTTTGACATAGATAAGATTTGTACTCTTGCTGAAAAGTATTATCCTGCAGACTTTAGTGAACAAGAAATACATCATTTGAGGTGCCAACTTCAATATTTTAAGCTCGAAGTTGTTTGTCATGAGTAGTTTCAGCAAATGTCCAATATCTCAGAACTATGTCGAAGACTATCTGGAGTGAAAAAGGTCATGTGCTATAATTTAGTAGATACGTTGATCCGTCTAGTTTTAACTTTGTCGGTCTCCACGGCAACCACGGAGCGTGCATTTTCAGCTATGAAGCATGTGAAAACTGTTATACGAAATAGAATGGGAGAGGAATTTCTGGCTGATTCTATGATCATCTATATTGAAAGAGAGTTTGATTCAGTCATTGATTATGATTCTATAATTGATGAATATTATGTATCAAAGAATCGTAGATCGCAACTACAGTAGTATGGGTACGTCTGCCCAAATCATCTTATCTTTTATTTAAAAATATTTAACTTCACCATAAAATAAAATAACGAGTTTAGTAATTTTTTTGTTTAACCTTTGTTAATTTTATGCAGGATAAAGAAGTTGTAGATGCGAAATGAAGAGAACAAAAGGTTTGTTGGAATGCAATAAAAATGGTACATGTTTTGTTTTATATATCATTCATTATATACAAATATTCAGATTTTTTTTTTTTTTTTTTTGCAAAAATAATTCTAGCTCGGGTAGATTTAGAATCCTGGCTCCGCCCCTGTAATATATGTTACTATTATATTTTATGGAATAATTTAGAATCATGTATTCTATGGAGGTGTTACAGATTGGCGGATGACAAAAGTGAATTATATATGTCACTTATTATATTTAATATGCATTGTATCATATATAATTATTAAATATGCATAATATTTATTATAATCACTAAATATGCCACTAGTTAATTAATATCGTTTTGCATGTCATAGAAAATCTACACTAATATCCGTAACACATCGGAAATCAATTCAAATCATATATTCTATGGAATAGTTTTGAATCATATATTCGATGGAATAATTTAGTACATATCATGGTTAATTGATAATTATAGATTTAATTGATAAATAATTATCAAACGATTGGGTGTCTTTATCTTATTTGATGGTATGTATATTTTTATATACTATTAAATATATGGTCAAAATCGTTTTAAATATTACTTTTTACATTTCCAAAAAGAATGATTCATATACTTACAAAAAATCGAGATAATTTGGTTCAGCGATTTTTATTCTTCGATTCGGTATTCGAGACTATCGGAACAGCTTGGTTTGGAGCTTCGGAAATTTGTAATGATTTTTTAAATTTTTTTGAATGACTATCTAACTATACTTAAATTTTGATATGATTAAAAAAAATCAACATTCATCAATACTTAAATATATTAGATAACTTATTATGAAATCAACTTTAGAAAGTATTGAAGTAATTCAAAATTTTAGTTAAAACTAAATTTGTGCAACTAATGATGGAAATTTTGAAAATACAAATAATATATATTATATTTTTCTGTAAAACAAGTATTTGTTTAACTTTTCGAACCATTTTAAATATAACATTAAATAAGACTAAAAAAAGTATGAATGAATATAATATAAAAAAATTTTCAAAAATAAAAAATATTAATTGTAGATCAAATATTATTAAGTAAAAATTTAACGTAAGTTTAATTGTTATTACTATGTGTTATTAAGTATTTTAAAAATACCCAAAATAAATATATGAACAAGACAAATCTGATGTTATAATTTGGTTCTTTGATTCAGTACATATGAAATGGTTGGTGTGGTCCTCGGTACGGATACTTGTGAAATCTCCAGAAATGTACCAATTATTTTTCGGTTTGGTTCGATTCGGAGAAAGTCAAACCATCAACTGACATTTTTCTATTCGAGGTTCGTTCGGTTTTCAAAACAGTTCGATATTCTGCGAGTCTCATACTCAACCTTATTCACTACTACTTAAACTAGTGTAGAGCCCGCGCATTGCACGGTGGGGCTTATTCTTCAAAACTTTTTTTTAAAAACTTTTTATATTTTATTTTTTTCTCAAAAATTAGTCACTAAATTATGGCAATAAAGATAAATAATATGTATGAAAACTCATATATTATTAAACACTTCTTATACACAACATTCTTGGTTTAATTTTCTGCCAAACCTTCTTCTCCACAAATTAAAATTTTCAAACCGTTTCTGTTAATCTTGAATTTTGAATTTTATCACTATATTTTATCAAACACTTCCCTCTACACGATTAATTTTGAATTTTACCTCATAAGAAAGTCTTAAATTTCTGAAACAGTGTCAACGACAATCAACAATGTGACATCCTTCGAAGTTGTTACTTGAATTTCATCTAATGTACAAATTAATGTAAACCATTTTTAATTAAATAAGTCCATAAATCCATGAATGTTAAACTAAAAATCGTTTCAATATATAATATGTTGTAATATGGTATGTGATATGGGTACTGTTGATAAAGTTGATAAATATATAATATAAATCGTATAATGTTGTATGTTATACATTTTTTTATTTAAATTGGAAGGTAACGTTTGTCAAACAAATTATGACATTTGAATTCATGATCTCTTTTTTAGGAAATTTTGGTAAACGGTGGTTCATGTGATTTAAATTGTATGTTATAATTTACATTTTTTTTTTCTAAATAAATTGGAATGTCACGTTTGGTAAACAAATTATAACTTTTGAATATAAATTAAAGTACAATGAAAAAAAAAAATTGATGTTGATTTTTATTTTCAAAATGAAGTTCACTTTTTCAAATAATGTCTCTAATTTATCAATGATTTTATGGCAATTAAAGATCGTGTAAATATTGCAAGGAAACATATGAATTGGCAATGTCAAATAAAATCTATTTCGTTCACATATACATCAACAAAATCTGCAATATTTTCAGAATACCCGAAAAAATCAAATAGATTGCATAGAATTTGTAATTTATTTAGAATACCCGAAAAATTCAAACAGATTTCATAGAGGCGAGATTTTTCAATTTTTTTTAAAATAAAAGTTTCTTAGTTTAGTATTTATGAAATTTTAAGCGGGAAACCAAATGATTTCTTATGATTTTTATTACTATTTCGGGTAAATATTATTGCCTCTTTATATATTAATAGATGCACAAGATTTTATAGAGAAAGAAAATATAATTGAAAATATAATAATATTTTCTTTTATGTAGGTATGGTGGTCTAATTTAAAGCAATGTTTGAAAGTCGTAAGGCAGTAGACTGGACCTAGCGCCTGGAGCATTTGGGCTGCGTCTAGGTGGGGTCGAGAAAATTTAATAAATGTATTTACATTTGTCATAAAGCATAATTTATAAGATATATTATATTAAATATATTAATTAATATTGTCGAATACAAAGATTATACAAAATCTAATGCATTATGACAAATGTAAATACATATTATATTAAATATATTAATTAATATTGTCGAATACAAAGATTATACAAAATCTAATGCATTTATAATTATTATATTCATTGTAAAATAATGATTATTTTTTTACTACATAATCAATATAAATTTCATTAGAAAATTTAAATTATTTTTATTTTTTTAAAAAATAATACATTAAAAAATTGAAAAAAAATATGCATGCGCCTAGAAGTCACCAAGATGACCGCATGTAGTCAGGTCTTCCATTCCAGTCCAGAAGATATTGAATTGAACTTTTATTCCGCTACTTATCATCTCCGCTCAATTACATGGACCCTCTTTAACTCAGCGCTTTATAGAAAGGAAATTTTCTTTTGGCTCTTCTCCCGTTGGTCGAGACAATTACATCGAAGCGCCTAAGTGCTGCCTAGGCCAACTTTAAATATAGAGGTTTAATGTTCAAATGTGGACTTCCATATATATCACGCCTATTTTATTTTTTGCCACATCAAATCCACATGGCTAAATAATTATTTTAAATCACATTGAAGACTCTCTAAAGTCTAAAATCAACGTCTAACAGTTTGCATTAATACTTGTTTGGTGAATATCATTT